TCCTTCTGTGTGTTTTCAGCAGTTGGACCTGCACTGGAATGTCTTGTGTAATGTGTGAGCCATATGACAGTTATTTATCAAACGGCAATACGCTCACCCACTATCTGGGCTTTGAATCAGACCACATTACGAACACCAAGGAGAAGACAAAATCCAGCTGATGCTACAGTCCCAATTTTTTTTTTTTTTTTTCAGTTTGGTTCTTGAAATAAAACAGCAGCTTTGGCAAACGCCACAAGTAAACGTTCCATCAGTCTCAGATTTACTTGTGTTTCGTGCTAATAGCAAATGTTAGTATGCCAACATGGTGAATATAGTAAGGATTATACCTGCTAAACATCAGCATGTTAGCGCCGTCTTTGTGAGCAGCTGCATCGAGCTGTAGAAACGTAGATACAGCGTTCTCATGATCCAGGTCACGATCCGCGAGATGCAGACTTCACTACAAAATTGACTGTAACTTGCTTATATAAAGTATACACACCTACTAGTGTGTGAGGTCGTGCATAAAGGCTACAAGTTACTGTCTAACCCAGGAAACTGGCAAGAAAAATTGTGTGGGGAAAATAATTCACATATGTTGAATTATGTTTTCCTGTAGACAAATTTCACATTTCACTAAACCAGGTTGCTTTGTGACAATATACTAAGGTTAGATATAGAAATCTAACTTTAGAGAAATCTACAAAAGCTAAAATTCTAAATAATTTACACTTGATGTTGTTCATAGATCTCAACCTGCATGTCCCAGTGTGGAAGTTGTGTCTATTCAGAAAGTACATTTCTTGGCATAGAGCTGATTAGATCCCCCTCCAGTAACTGAATTAATTATGTTCAATTTCTCACATTAATAACAAACTAAAGTTAATGAAAATCGGTTCAGAATTACACGAGTTACAGTCAACTTATAGTGAAGTCTGCATCTCTCAGTACTGTTAACTAGCAGATCTTGATCTCCGCCAATATGGCAACCGCGCTGATGCATAGTGGAGGCACACAGCAGCGACCAATGAGGTATCTATGTTTCTATATCTATCTATCGTACAGCCTCACAGGGCTACTAGCATGGCTCTAGACCCTTGTTTTAAAGACCAACTGAACACAAGATGTTATGAAAAGCCATTTTTTTAATACAAATAGAAAATAATCAAATTCTTAAATGGCGAAACTAACTAAAATATTAGACCAAAATCTTCCTTTTTATCAAAAAGTACAGTATAAATGGTTAAAATAAATATTCATTTGATTTGTTTAGATTGATCTGCTGATAGAAACTAATACACAAGCTGTGAAAGAGGACAGAGATGAAGCAACATTTCACACCACAGTGGCATCAGACCAATGAAGATGGCAGCTATTAAAAGCGCTGATTACAAATGTTAAAACATTTCCAACTTCTTTTCTCTCCAGTATGTTGAGAAAACAATCATCTGTACAAAGTGCATTAGTTATACTGCATCTAGGATGAAAACGAGCTCTTGTGTGATGTCCATGGCTTTCATTTGTATGTGGAAATAACTGAACCATATTGGTGATCTTGCTTTGAAATAATAGCATTACAAAAAGAGACTGAATTTACCCAAAAATATGTAAAAAGGAATAAATCTGTGAGAACATTTGATCATTATACAGAAGGAACATGGTTTAAGAGAATATATTTTTACATACTGAAATGGTGGCACTTGTTTATATTGGTGGTTTATATACAGATTAGTTTTAGGTAGAAATGCAGCTGAAGTTAATAGTCATTAAAGTGAACCTACAGGCAGCATCTGAAAGCCAGATATCAAAAATGATTCAGCTCTCCTGAGTGTCTCATGATTTTTCTTGATAGTCACACATGTGGTCATCATCATTTGGAGGAAGAGTGAAAGAAAGCTGCCAGAAAACAATGTCCATCAATGACTTCAGCTGTGTAACAGGCTTAATTTGTGAACAATGTCTCTAATAAACACAGAACCAGCTGCACAGCACAGATCCCAGCACCAGTAAAACCAGCTGTGCCAGTCTCTTTGTCCCACTAGCTGCTAACTGGACTTGCTTGCTGTTAAAACCTGAGCCATAGCGATGTGAAGGCTGTGTCTCCCCCCCACTGCAAAGCACCATGGGAGCCTGAAAGGAAGTGGGCCTCTTCTGCGGTCGGTCTGGACTGGACCCGTCAGTCGGCCTCTCTCCGATGAACAGCAGCGGGTGTTTCCTGTGGTCCAGCTCAGTCTTGAAGAGCTCGTACTCCTTATGCGGCAGCTTGATACCCAGCAGGGTGCACCCATCTGTGGGGGTCAAGTCCTGCTCCACCCCAACCTCCCAGCTGCCTGCCCGGCCGCACTTTCCTGGCCTCGTCCCATTCAGCAACTTCGCTGTGGACTCCTCTGCAGCTGTGACTCTCACCTGTGTGACCTTGAAGACAAACTCTGTGGCTCCTGAGACCTTGGTGGAGGGGTTTCCCTGAGCGTAGTGGCCCGAGGCTCTCAGGGTGAAAGTGGGCTGAGAGCAGGCAGGGTCCGAGTAGTGCCGGTAGATGCCATCCCACGCATGCTGGTCAGGATTAAAGGTGAAGTCTCGGGTAAGGAACAGGACGTTGGGGCGGGTTTCGCAGCGCTGGCTGACCCAGCGGCTGGCCAGAGACAGAGGAGCTGCGGGGCGGCGGGGCAACACTGGTGGGCGCTGCTCGGAGGAGCGGTACACCAGAGCGCACACAGGGCAGGGGTGGATGTGATGCTGCAAAGATTAAGAGAGGGTTTTTTTTATTAGTCACTTAATCATTTATAATATCAGGAAATTGTGATCAATTAAAATTTCCCAGAGCCCGAGAAAATGTAATAAAAAGGGTTTATTTTGTTTAGGAAACAGTGGGAAAAAAAAACATTATTTTATTTTAAGTGGAAACAACAACAGAAAAAGTACCAATTTTGATAATAGATTGATAATTTTTTTAATTTTCTAGGAAGAAAATGCCGAACATTAGATGGTTTTAGCTTTCCACATGGAAGATTTTCTGCTTTACTTTGTCATTGATGATAAAACTGAATGTTTTCAGATGTTGGCTCTGAGAAATTCCCATTTTTTCCACTTTTCATAAACAAATTAAATACGTTTCTTTATGGTTTTCTGTCATGTTAATACTGTTACTGTTACATATTACGCTGATCAAGAGGAGAAAGGCAGTGACATCCCAACTGCTTTACTGTTGAGCTGCTCAGTGGATAACAAGATGTTTATAGTAGCTTTGCCTGTCCTTACAATCAATCCTCCACAAGCTTCTCACTTCTCTGATCAACTCTGTCTAGTAAATAAACTGAATAACGCACAGTAACGTCTCACCATGGCGTTCTGCAGTGGCTGTTGGTACCCTGTAGGTCTGTACTGAGTCCTCTGTGTCCAGTCAGTGTGAACGTCCCCTAAGAACAGCTCCTGGACCTTTCCTCCGTGGCTGTGGTGCTGCGTCTCCACCCGTATCAGTCCCATCTCTATCATTGAGAAGCCCAGCGCTGCCAGGCATCCCCTCCCCGCTCGAGTGTTGTACAGCTCATACAGCTTCCCTGGAACCACTCGACCCAGGGTCAGACCCACGCAGGTCGGAGGCAAGCTGGAGGCCAGCCTCTGCTTGGCCGCCAGGCTGTGGACCACAATGCCCGCCTTGCTGATGTGATGTTCAGTTTCGGTGCCCCCGCGGGTGATCCAGGAGGCCTGGCGCAGACGAAGCCTCCCTCTGATCATCAGGGAATAGGCTGGGTCCTCGCAGCCACTGTCTGTGTAGTAGTGCTGCAGGGCCTGGAAGTGACGGCTGGGGTGGAAAGTGTAGGAACGGGTGAGGAACTCTGGACCAGGCCGAACTTCACATCTGAACAGCAGAGAAATTGAATGAGAGGATTGGTTGTGTCATGTATCCGGCAGTGAGCGGAGATCAGTTTCCTGCCACATCCAGAGCTGTCTTTAAGTCTTTTGGGGCACATTTCAGTCAAATCTCAAATCAGTCAAAGCCTCAAATCCAAGTCAAGTTACAAGTCTTCATAAGCAAAAAGCTTTAAAGTATTTAAGGTCTCTGAACATTTTCATTTGAAAGCTCTTAATAGTGTTTTTTTTTTTTTTCATAACTGAATCTAAATCTTTTCCATGTTTTTGGCTTAATATTTGAACCTGTATTAAGTGATTTTTGGCCACTAGCTGGTAAAAGAAATAAGTTGGAACCACAACAACATTATTTTTATCTAAGAATTAGGCCTAGCGTGCCAGAAATGTGATTTTCTGGTTCACATTGGTAATAACTCTTTGTCCCATAATCTCTCCACTCAGTGATCCATCCAACTCGCAGCCCAAGTGTTTAACACATGTTTTGGCAGCAATCTGAGAGTCTCCCGTTGTAATTCTGAGCTCTGTGGACCTACTCAACCTTATTTTTGAAACAAATAATACAGATTTTTCAATTGGTAGGTGCAGCAATTCATCACTTAACTTATCACTTTAAAGAGTTTTCTATTCACACATTATCAGCAACATTATCATTCATTTGGAGTTGTAGTTCTAGTCTAATATTGCCATACTTTCTTTAAGCTCTGTCTTTGGTCTCTACCAACTCCTGAGGTAAATATCTTTAGCTGCTAAATGCTCCACTATGTTCACAAGATAGTTGCTAACTCTTTCTGCCTGCTGTTCAGTGCTGACCAGGTAGGGCACACTGGGTTTTTAGAGCTTTTTTTCATCGGCACAACTAGCAGTGAGAGTGAACAGTGCAGTTACAGGCCAGAAAAGGTCACATGATCCATTGTTAATAGGAAAGTATCTATTATAGCTGCTTAAAATATTAAAGGTTTAAAAAACTGGATACAATTATTTTGTGTGTCTGTATTGCTACAACTTGTTACAAAAAAACCTCACCTTGTTGACACCCATGTGCCGTCCAGTCTTGGAGGGATGTCTGCTGTGATTCTCACTCTGTCCTGTAGGTGGAGGTACTGACAGTCCTGCTCCCACTGCAGGCTCTCACTGAGGTTGGAGGAGGAAGTGAAGGAGGCTGTGGGCACCTCCCACAGTTTACTCCCTGTTCCAGCCACAAACACAGCTACAGAGGAAGGGAGAGTCAGAAAACAGTGAGTAAATAATCACAGTAATCCAGTCAGATAAACACAGAGGCTTCACGGCACTTAAGTTAGATTTCCCGGCTGATTTTGGGTGGATGTAGGAAATTATTCAGTTCAGAGATTATTATCAGCCTCCTTCATCATAAAAAGAAGAGAACAGATAATGTCCATAAGGGGATTCACATCTTCTCCCTGTTACATCTAAAAACAATTCTGGTTGACAGCAAGCTGTAATTCTGGTAAATTGTCCATGTAATGAGTGGAGAGTGGGTCCTATAGCAACCATACATGAATCTGAATTAGGCGAGGCCACGGTGCAGACAGTTTTGGCTTGTCACTCCAATCAGCCTGCAGCTGCAACACACAGACCTCGTTTTTTGGGGTTTGGTTGGAAGCTCGAGGAGCGTGTGCAGAGGAGCGTTTGTGTGCACATCAGCACCCGTGCAGGCTCTCTGTATATGCGATTCTACCATCAAGATAAAGCCAACAGCGGGTCACTGACAGCAGCAGGCCAGCCGAGCCAAACACATCTGTTGATAATATGATAATAAAAAAAAAAACACTTAAAATGATGAATGTTCTCGTTTGAGTTTTCCCAAACACAGGCAGTTAAGTTAATCCAAATGAAAGCATTATTCACTCTATAACATTTATTGATCTGACACGTGCACATCTGCAATCCGTCTCCCTGTCATTGGTAATAACGGCACTTTTCTGCTCTATCCACTTGTTGCTCAGAGATGTGTGCGTTGTCGACACGGCGAGGATATTTTTTGTGATTACACCCTCATGGTTGCAACGTGAGGAAACGCGCTGGGGTTCTGTCCTGGCAGTGTGTGCATTTTCTTGTGTGTGAAAATTATGGCTTCAGTTTCATCCTCCCAAAACAAATGTCAAAAAAGCAAGAGGGGGATGAGTTCTCACAGACTCCTCCGTATCCTGTTTTCTCTCTGACTTTTTGTCTTGTTTTCCTCGTCCACTCACTTTTATTCCCAAAGGTGAACTTTACTTTTTACACTTTGTTTTTTGTACGTATTAAATAAATTAAATATAACATGTTAAATAGTGAACTTTAGAGGTGCTGGTAGGTGGATACTGTTACATTCAAACCTGCTTCCAGTCTTTATGCTAAGCTAAGCCAACTGCCTGCTAACTGTAGCCTTATATTTGACAAGTATGAGAGTGATTCTCAATCTTCTCATTTAACTCGATGAGCAGGATATCCAGCTTGCTTTTTCCTCTATTTCCTTCTTTCTTATTCCCCCTTGTTCCCTTACAGCTCTCACATTCTTTCTCTCACTTTCTCAGCTTTCCTCGAGGTCATCTGTGGTAGACAGCTTTATGGTTGTAATCTCACTCCACTTTTCTCTCATTTGACTTTAGATGCACTTGGGGAGGACATCACCTGTCGAGCCTCCAGTTGAGCTGGGAGCCACAGATCAGTTTGTTCTCATATGACTGAGCAGATGGAGCTGAAGGAAAATGGAGACTTTGAATGGAAAGGGATGCTGACTTGCTGATAGATGTTTTTTGTTCTTTGTGTTCAGGAAAAAGCTCCAAAATGGTGGCTGACTGATCTGCGTTTAGTAAACTTGTTAGTGTCAGATGGAGGATATTTTTTGTTCCCCTCACTCTTGGAGTGCTTCCCATCTGCTGACCACAACCACAGACATGTGTGCAGCTCAGTCATTTCCTAGCATCCTTCCACCTGCACACACACACACACACACACACACACACACACACACACACACGTAGAGGCTGGATTGCACAGTCGCTGACCACAAAACCAAATTTAAGCTCAAGGCACATTTCTCCTCCTTTGAGCAGTCTGTCAATTTGTTGATATGATTAATACTCCTTTTTCTTGTCACAGGCATTGAAACATGTTTGCAATTTTCCCCATGCGGTGATGTGTTTGTTTATGCTCCATGTCACTGCAGCTGGCGAGGGAACCCGGTCAGTCGGACCCAGCTGCGCTCCCACGGGAGTGCTCGGAGCAGAAATACTAATCAGGATTAATTAATTTCCACTGCTCCTTGCAAGTCATCCAATCGGTCTGTTTTGTGTTATCCACCCTTTGTAGCTGCATGCAACATGTTGCCTAAGTGGTTACTCACACACGGTGCAATGAATGGACAGAGAGGCAAGAGTCACAGTATGATGTGGAGTCATTTGGGTTGCTATATTTGAGTTTCTGTTTTTGCCAAAGCATTTCTATAGTGTTTCTTGAGGTCACTTGTCATTCAGCCCCTTTCCCTCTCTTGGATCTCGTTCCAGTTTGGGCATATGGTTGCATTTACTAAAAGAGCACTCATAAAAGCAGAGCTTAGTAAAACAAAATTGCTCATCGTGGGGTTTTTTAAGTATTCTTCTACAAAAGAGCCTATTGCAACCACAAGTGAGGCGATGTTGTAATACATATGATAATATCCAACCCCCATCTCAATTTGGAGGAGATGGGGGACCATTTTAGTTGATTCACTTCCTACACAGGCAGTCAGATATCATTAGTTTTACCCTGCAATGGTTCCCACTGATTTATTTTCCCACTAAGGGCCCTAAAACTTCCCCTTATGCAGTATACACCTCCCTGTCACTGAATAGCGTTCGGTGCATCTTTTAGAAACAGATGTCATGTATTTTTACCAATATAACACACTGCAAGACTGATAAAACCAATGTTGGGTTATACACACAGCTGTCTCTCTGCGTACAGCTAAACCTGATGCAGTCGAATGCAACAAACCTGCAATTAAACCTGAAGGTTGTAAGGCATTGAGTCAATGTATGGTCATTTTGGAGGCTGCAGTTTATGGTGTTGTTGAATTATAATAAACTGGTAATAAACAAGTGTATTTGTACATATATATAATTTAGGTTCACCTGTAAAGAGGTAGAATTACATTGGTGTAAAACATGAGAGCTCACTACACAGTAACAGTAATCCAACTGTAAAACTGACATTTCAATAACAAACATTTACTCAAATTAACTAAAAATAACGATGCCACTAACCTCTATGACTTCACAGGGTTCAAGGGTCGACATATAGCATGTGAATAGTTCACTAAAGCCTCATGGCAGGTCAATACCACAGGCATCTATTCAGTAAACTCTTCCCACATTAAAGTCTGTCTTAAAACAACTGTCAGGTATCCATATGCACATTGATCAGGTTTCATACTGGTCATTACAACATTATAATTTGCCTTTAGTAACAAAAGTTAGTTTATACGAACCTAACGTGAGGTTTCAGAAGTCTGAGTTAATCAAATCAAATGGCTATCTTCCAAAGTTAAATGAAACATTGAAATTCCCTCTTTGGGTTACTCTCCCTCCGCTGCAGCTCAACAGAGAAACACTGTCCGGGAAAAACAGAGGAAGGCTGCTTAAATCTAATATTAATAATTTTTTTTGCACAGAACAAGGAGGATTTTGTTCCCGATCACGTACATTGGAAGCTCTTAAAAAGTATGAAAGAGGAAGAATGATTAAAGCAAGTAAAGCCTGGAGAATGAGACAAAACTCTTTGATGCACACATGTTGCTTCGATTGCCGTAACAGCACGCAACGAGCAACAATTGTGATAGCTCTTTTTGCTCGTAAGGGCCAGGGCTATTAATATGCTGACATACAGTGAGATTGGTTTTTGGTGCAAGCTTCACTTCAACAGTGGGCAGGATGCCAGCGCTGCTCTGTGACTGCCACCTTGTCTTCCTGCCTTTCTGCTTTGCTGCAGTAACCCTGATTTTACTGTCAAGAACAGCTGAACAACGCACTGCACATCAAAGACAACACTCATCCCCCCTAGTTTGTCCTCATGCAGTACCACAATTCTCCCACAAGGGGTCAGCGCAGCAGCCTGTGACCTGCGTGTGGTCTGGATGGTCAGTCTGTCATCACCACCAACACTGACGCTGCCACTGGCCTTCGCTTCAGCCGACTGATGACCGGCCAAAGTAATCTACCTGTCTTTGAGCTCCCGTATTCATCCTGTTTCCACACACATACACATGCATGCATGCACATTCACAAAAACACACTGCACACATTGACTTACAGAAGACTGAGAAGGGATACCATTTATAAAGGACCTCCACGCTGCACTCTGTTTGTTTGTTTGTTTGCATTTGTGATTACGGTTTGGCAGCCTTCACCCTCCTCTCTCATGTCTCATCCATAGCGCCAAAGTCAAAATACGGCTTTATGTACTTCTTTATTTGGAGCTATCCTGTAAAAACAAGAACCAGATCCAGGCACTTTTGATTCAGCACTCGCAGGGGGAATCAAGTGCCTGAAGTTTAAGTCAACCCTGTGCCTCGTTCATTAGAGAGAGACGACTTTGTCTGCTTCATAGCTGCTTCTATTGAGGCTTTTTTAATGGAGAATCATTAAACCTGCCAAAGTGGAGGCAGTGAAGGTGAAAGAAAATATCTATTTTGTCTCAGAAGAAGTGTTGGTGGTGAAATGATGGCAAAGCAAGACCAATTCCTCCATGTTCCAGTATTTTAACTACTTCCTCGTGTGTTTCCTGCTCTTTTTTTTTTTACTACATCCTTGCTGCATTTATTTCAGTGTGGTTACCCCCAGTGTCCTGTAAATCCACTTTCTCATCTCTCATTGCCTCAGTGCTGCAGGACAAAACCCTCAAAACTGTCCCTGAAGTGCCCGTGCCCTCCTGGCCCACCTCCCCCTCGGCTGATTACTGCTCCCCTCCTCTGATGAAAAAGCCATGATGTTTACGGCTCATTTCTCCTGGATGGATTTCAGATTCCTCCCTTCTTTTTTTTCCTCTGTCTTTGTTTCTTTTTTTTTTTTTTTTCTTTCTCTGTGTGTCTGTCAGTGGTTGATGAGGTGAATGAAGTTGGTCAGGATGATGAGGGGTTGGAGGAGGGTGGGGTGAGGCATCTTCATGAGCTGGAATGACTAGATTAGTGAGGTGCATGTGTCTGAGTGTGTGTTTTTTCTGTGTGTGATGCTACAGTAGCTCAGAGATCCTGCTCGTTCCACATATTTAGGTGACTGCTGCACATTATTCACAGTTCACAGCTGCTTTTTCAGGCACTCTTGTGCTCTCTTGGTGGGTTGTCCTCGATAGAGGTGTTATAAGTGATTCCCAAATTTTTTTGGCTTCAGACAATGAAGGACTCTTTACTTTTATTTCAATATTTGCAGAGGGCAAAAGAGGCAAAATTACTCAAAATCTACTACTCTTCGGAAGAAAAAAAGCTATATTTATAAAACTGAAAACACGCACAAAAACCGAAATGTGTGTAGCAAGAGCTGTTATTCTTCTTTCCTATCCTATTAATCATCTAGCCCCTGAGATTAACCTAACCATTTCCCTACTCCTCCAGCCCCTACAAGCTAACAGCAGTCGAAATTGATACCAACTCTTCAGCAAACTCCCATTAAAGCATTGGCCCAAGATCACACTGTGATCAACATTTCTGTCAGTGTCAGAAATTTAACACCAGATTCTCACACTGCGACCGCTACAATGACGCAAAAACCAAACAACCAATCAGAAAACGGCATGAAATAATGCAGAATACGTTGTTGTAAAAGCCATTTTTGGGAGGCCAAGTTTAGGAAGAAATGTCTGCATGTACACACCCAAACCAAAACAATAGAGGTGAAATGAGAAAAGACATTTATGCGACTCTGTGTGTGTTTGAAAATGCAGCGATGCAGGTCTTCTTATTTACCAAACAGCACAGATGGAAGGCGTGTCTCTGCTCTTTCCTCCTTCTATTCACATGGTAGCGCTACGATTCACCGCGGATTCATCGCACAATCTGACATGCCTCAAAGTGATGTCATACAGTCTGACACAGATTGTGAAGGTTTTATTAGACCACTCTCACACAGTGTGACAGACACACATAATCGTTTTTGCACAGTGTAAAGGCGCCTAAAGACAGCGAACATGTCAACCTCAAATTGTCAAAATATCAGAGTGTTACTGGGATTTGTAACTGATGTAATTATTGAATTACTCCACTCATTACTAAAACAAAATACTCAGACAACTGTAACTAATGCCCAGCGCGGTCAGGAATGGAAGAGGGCTAACAAAGACCATGCAAATCATTTTTCTGTTTCGTCTGGCTCAGGCCTTCTTGCTGCAGTACCCTGTTTCTATGTCTCTCCCTTCCCTCCACCCTTGTCGCCAAAGTCAGGCGAAGGTCAGGTTGATTTAGAGGTTTTTCAAAGAACATGAGGTCTGTTGTGTTATTCTAACCCTGAGTCCCCCTTCCTTTTTTGGGCTTTAACCCTAGCATCTCATAGCGGTCTCCCAGACCAGGAGTATCCCTCTGTCCCCGGGGCAGCGCATGGACGACTACTGTTGTCTTTTCATCACAGTGTAAGCTGGTTAATCCAGCGGCCACGTTTATTTAGACAAGGGATCTACAGGAGTTTGCCCAGTGGACGCTGCTGCCAGTTCCACTGTGGTTAGCGAAACTCTGGCTCCTGTTCACAAAGCAACAACACACACATCTCACACCCTCACCATTAATAAAACGGCTACCACATCAAGCCAACACATCCACCTACCCCACCATTTTCTCAACCTTTCATGGGCTGCATTATTTGTAAATTCTGCATGTCGTATAATGTTATTCAAACTTCATACAGTGCCTATGGATGCACATGGAATTCAGTGGCAGACTGTATAGAGGATTCCTGATTGTAATAGCACCTGACAGGCATTGCGGTGTCTCTTCTTGGTGGACAGCCGAGGTAGTCGAGATGTAGATAGCGGACAGGGGAAGTTGATGGTCCATTGATGTTTTCGAGTTGAGATTACATTGGTTTCACCTTAATCCAAAAACTTGGTTTGGAGATGTTTTGGGAGATCCGGTCGGAGGCCGTTTTTCAGGCCGAAACAGGAAGACCGCATCCGAGGTTTAATTTATATGAATACGATCAAGGGGTTTTCTGTATGGTGAACTCAAACCGTGATAGGGTGGATCACTAAATGTTCCCATCCAGTTTAGTCCAGTTTATGAAACCCAGGAAAAAACAGGAAATTCTTTCATCCAAGGATCCACTAGACCTAATCCAAATATTCACTGTGGTCTCTCCCATACAGCAAATTGGTCACTTTTATCTTCCTCAAACACTTCATCAAGAGAGGCAGAACTCCAAGAACTGAGGTTTTGTAGCTTTAAAGTTAAGGTTTGGGTTCAGAGGCTGCTTTGTAGTTTATAAGCAAAGAGTTGTTCAAAAGTTTCAATATTCTTTGACTCATCTCACCGTCACTGTGAAGCACTCAGGCTTGGGAAGCTTTCCCCCCTCACAGAAATCATATTACACCTGTCAAAATGAATCTGAAAACAAATGTTATGGTCCGTTTTATTTAAAATTTTTATGATCTGTTTTCTGCTCTGTTTGGGCTGAAGAACTGCTCAGCTCCTTACAGCATCTGTTTAGGGCCAGCGACTCAACCTCGCCTGTCTCCTCTACTAGACTTGAGCTGTGAAAAAGAAAATAATTCCCAGATACCAGTCTACCAGTCTACCACTGAAGCAGCTAGGGATGAAGGGAGGGGTAGGGGGGTTGGCGTTTGGGTTGCTGGATGATGATTAAAACTGGGCAGATGCCTCCTCCTGTCTGTCTCCCGCCGCTCATCAACCTAACCAGCCCTGATAGCCAAAATGCTGCGCTTCCGTGATCGAGGCTGCGGCGGCTGGACAATCGGCTCTGCAGAGCAGCCTGAGGTAAGGTCAGTAATGGCTGTCTCCTGTTATTCTAACCATTAACATAATGGCAACATTAGTTCCAGGGCCACGCTTCCCTGCTCGTAGGGAACCATTGTTTAAAGGCACCAGCCAGAGCTCTTTTTAA